CATCACAGGTCTAGAACTATGAAATATAAACAAATAAACAAATAATAAAACCTCAGACAACATGGCTGTTGCCGGGGGTCCTGGGAATTAGTTCGGCATCTTGCAGGCCACTGTCTTAAAACTTCCTCCGACGAGCATGACAAAATACTGAACAACTAGGATGTTTCTCTCATAGTTCTGCCACGTTTCTACATCTGTGTGATTCATAATGACTGCTGACTCTTTCTGCAATCTGCCTCCCTTAGCAGTAGCAATAGCAGTTGGACTCATATTCCACTTCGCAGTGGTTTGCAGCCCCCTGTAAGCGGTTTGCAGAGTCCGCCTATTGCCCCCAACAATCTGGCTCCTCATTTTACCCACCTCGGAAGGATGGAAGGCTGAGTCGACCTTGAGCCAGTCAGGATTGAACTGTCAATCGGCGCAGTCAGCCTGCAATGCTACATTCTAACCATTGCGCCCTTTTCATCTCATGATGTTGCCACGTCTTTGAACAGGCCCATCCCTTTTTCTCTCCCCCACCCCATTTGCAAATTGTAATAACTTCGAATAAATATTACATGGAAAAGGATGAGCTGGTAGAGTTGCTAAAGGTTGCCTTGAACGTCTAGCTCGTAGCGCGCTGTTGGCAATTCCGGTAGTTATAATCTCAGGACGTGTCTAGAATGTAGAATGATGTAAGAGGATTGTTTTCCTGGGGGTCTCTGTGCTCCGTATCGTTGTCTCTCTGATACTGCTCATAAGTTCTGATGCTCTGCTTCCCAAATTCCACACCAAACAAACACAGTTGGGATTTTCATCCCTTTATCCCACTCCCCATTAATATAATTTGATTTAATTTATTTGACTGTTTCTTCTAGTCACTCGGAGATCAAGTCGAAAAGGTTTCCTCAAATCATTCTCCCTGTGTGAATGCACGTTTTTCACCCAAGCATGTGCATGTGTTTGTGTAGGGCGATTCTCTTATTTTTTTTCTTTCTTGTTCCCCTGATTCCAGTCTTAATTTATCTCTGCATTGTGAGCAATTTACATATTCATGTTCAAAAGTACCGTTAATTACACGGTGTTTCCTCCCAGATGAGTGAACACAGGAGTGGAGCTGTCACTCTTCCAGAGTTTTAGAAGGAGTTTACTGCTGAATCATGCCTGTAATTAAGATCAGAGTGGCTTTCCATTAAATACATACATTGTCTTTTTAATTACAACAATGCTTGAAATACTGAAATCAGCTTGATTAAGGCAGCTAATATAATAAACTATCTGATAACCTGGCGTTGCCTGGGTTAGGGTTAGGGTCTCTCCTCAAAAATAATCCAGGAGCAAACATAATTTCTAATGTTGGATTTTCCCCCTTACCAGAGGGAGCCCCCTTGTGGAGTACTGCGAAACCATTACCATTGCAACTCCACTGTGCTGTACAGTAGAAGCCATTTTAAGGCACAAGAGGCTGCATCTTAACAGAATACCCCTCAAGGGGTTTTAGGAGGTGTGTTACCCCACATTATTTGTTTCCAGAGAGTAAGTTATCTGTGTACCAAGTTTGGTTGAAATTGCTGGAGGCGTTCCAGAGTTATGCCAAACATACACACACAGCCATTTTATATATATATATATATGTTTTTTTT